AGTAATCATGTGAAGACTGGCTAGAGGAAGTCTGCAAAAAAATAAAAAAAAATAAAAATAAATAAAAATAGATAGATGGAAAGAAGTGCAATAATTTTCTTAGAGTCAATTGACACATGGAAATATTACTAAGATGAGAATTGATGTACCTTGGGGACTGTTCTTCTGTGCCGTTCAATTTTCAGTGGGCTCACAGTGTCCTTTCTCGGCAAACCATCTTGACCACTAACTCCAATATTTTGTGATTGAATATAGTAATCATGTGAAGACTGACTCGAGGAAGTCTACATAAAGAAAGAAAAGTATAGGATAATGTCAGCTCAACAAATACGAATATTTAAAAGTAATGCTTCCAAAAAAAAAGCTACATTGGGAAGTGGCTTCCTCTTCTTCACAATTTTTATAGGACTGACAGAAGGCTGAACTTTTCCCATGGAAGTGAGTAGTGCATCACCCTAAAACAGATTATTATTTATTATTACTCTTCATAAAAAGAGGATGTTTGAAACAACTAAGATAAAACTTACAACTGGGAGAGGTGCACACCCTAAATCTTCAAAAATACTCCTAGGATCTACAGATGTTCCCTGTATGAAATGTGTACACTGCATCAGTAAATATTTCCAACATATCCTTACTTTTGATGTGAAAGGGAAAATCCTTACCTCTGTATTCAAGGGTCTGACAACAAATCTATTGTTTCCCAATAGATTGGCTGAAACCTGCAAGAGACAAAAATCAGATGGTAAGAATAATTTTGTTACATAGTCAATTACTTGTCAGTTGTAATGGCTTACCTCTGAAAGTTTGATTCTGTCCTGTCCACAAGATGGGGATCTTATTTTATCCTGCCCATTAGGTAAGGGCCTCACAACAAAATGTGATGGTTTACCGGGGCTTGCAACCACTACCTCTAATTTCTGTCTGTCAGTTCTCGTGTAAAATAGGACATACGCAGAAGATCTTAAAATATGTAGGGGAAGATGTTCCATTCTGGAAACCTATTACATAATTTGTCACATTAAACATTTTACATTATAGTGCCACAATACAACACCAAGATACATTCAATGAAGTAGAACTAACTCTTTCATCACTGAACTTAACCCAGGAACCATTAGGACACTTAACAACAGTCTCATAGTGCCCTGTTGAGCGAGAAGCACTAATATGGAGGACTGCTCCCATCAAATTGTACTGGCTCTTTTCTGAATCGTCAAGAAGTAAATGGTTGTCGACACTGACAGGGTCATTGATTTTTGACTTGTCTTGACGGAATCTGCAACATACATTTAATTGTAATTATGACACAGTGATTTTGGTATATATTTTGACAATAGTCGCGTTAAAGAAATACACACCTTTTCAATTGGCAGATCAGAATACGTGGAGATTTATGAAAAGCAAAACTCTTCTGTATAGTCTGCTTTGTATTGCAGCCAACGCACAAATATTCTTCCACCCTTTCACCGCTTAGAAAGTACTTGATGGCATCTTTGACAGATCTACAGTTTTGATTTATCTTTGTTAATTCATCAAATTCTTCAATAGCCAAAGATAAGCTTGTGAAAGGAGAGTAAGTATTGGAAGAGTAAGAGCAGGATGTACACACACCTGAAGAGGATAACAGAAATACTGAAAACTGCAGAGAACATACACAGAGTACATGAGAAAGTACGATTTCCCTCTTACAATTTGTCATCAGCCACCCTCCAAAGTTTTCAAATATAGGGTTTGTCAACCGAGTAAGAAAATCATACCTATAGAAAAAACACAAACCAATAACTAATGTTCTGGCACCAAAAAATGGGAGCAGCTCAATCACAGAACATTGCAGAGTTACTCACTTATAAGAAGCAAAGGGGCTCAAAAAATCTTCCTCCAAATTTTGCAGTAAAAAAAGGAGGAATTCATGGGCATCTTCTTGCTTGTCCCCATTAGCCTGCACACCCTCATCGTCCATGTCATTGTCAGGAGTTCTGAAAGCACCTGAGAAAATAAGAAAAAATACAAATCATTTATGAATATTGAAACATAATTTCACAGCTCCTGCTTACTTCGAATAACGGCAACGAAAGCTGCAGGTCTAATGTTTGGAACTTTGCTGCACTTGTACTGACGCCACGTCTTCAGCATTTGACAAGTGCAGCAGTGAAGTAACTTCCTACAAGTTGAAGGATGCTCGGTTGTCTCCAACCACTTAATGATGTTGGGTGTGTGGTACAGCATCTGAGGATAATAATTTTATTTTATAAGTAGCATTGCAGGAAAAAATATATGAACCAAAACACGGAAACTTCACACGTTCAGTATTTTATTACCTGTAGACATGCATTGATGAAGCATGTGTTGCCAAAATTAGAGATGCCAACATCTCTGTGCGGAACTTTGGGGTTCCATTCGTTTGCAGAACAATGCGGGTACAATGTGACAGGTGGTGGCATTGGAGGCACATCGTTCCTCCATTTCTTCTAATGAAAGAGAATTTTTTTAGATATCTAACGTGAAAAATCCAAACAGAGTTACAAACAAGAATGGAAACAAAAACACTTACATTTGGGGAGGCCATCACAGAACAAACAAACTCA